GGTCCCTGATGCTTTTGCTAAGCTTGTTCTAAGTAGGTGCTTTAGACCACTGAGCCATCTCTCCAGCCCCATGTCTGCATCTTGTAGAGCAATTAACCACTAGGAAGAATGTATGTAATGTGTTAATTATTGATACTGTCCTACCAATTTAATTTGAAACTGTCTCACTGCTATTTGTTTATCAATAAAATTATGGGAAAAATATAAATATCATGTCTGCATCTTGCAGTGAATAACCACTGGGAAGAGAGCCTGCAGTGTGATGATTATTGAAATTGTCCTACTAATTTGATTTGAAACTCTCTCATTGCTATTTGTCTCTCAATAAAGTTATGGAAAAAATGTTTTCATCCTATAAGACTCATGCATGCAAAGATAAATGTATAAATGATATTAGATATATATTTACATGAGCATTTTTAGTTTTATTTTGTTCTTCTGACCACTATGATGAATTTTCAATACATTGTTCACAAACAAGTCATGTACTCTTAGGACTATGTCCCCAAAGACTCCTTTTTTCATAAGTATATTCTTGCTTTACATTGATAGTTCTTTGGTGTTTGTCCTTATTGTTCAGGTATACAATTTACAGGTAATAGGTTTTCTTTCTATAGATACAGAATTATTTGCTTTCATTGTTATATTAGTAGTTTATGGATGGTTATTATACAGTGTTTTTCATTTGTTCTGTCTTTGCTTGCTTCTATGGTAAGTGCTTGGTATTATTACATCCATCATCTTATTCAAAACAGACATACTGTGAAGTGTTTTCTTTAAACAAAACAATAACTACAAGTATTGTACTGTTTACATAAACTCAAATATTCTATGTATTATCATTTATGAAGCTGGAATCTAATCCAGAGCCAGTGTGAGTGCAAAGCTATGGCATTTCAGGCAAACATTTTGCTGCTATTGCGTGTTGACACTCATGTCTATTCTGCTTTTGTGCAATATACGTGCATTTCCTTTAAAATATTATGGTTTCAGCCTATCTTGAGTCTTAAAGTTTCTCCTTTTGTCTCCAGCAAAGAAAAAGGCAGCACTTTGCAGTTCAGCCACATATATGTGTGGTGTTTGAAATATGGCATGTTTTTGTTCAGTTAGTTCACACATAACATAATTTAAGCATTTCTATTAAAAATTAAAATGTAATAGCATGTCTGACTAAGCACATGGTGGCTAATTCCAATGTGTTCCTGCCCCTATGTGCCTGTAAATTCTATCTACTTGTCACTTAATTATGTTTGCTTTTGTTTTGAGATAGGGTCTTCCTATGGAGTTCAGTCTGGCCTTAAACTCACTACATAGCCCAGACTGGACTGGAACTTGTGAGAATCCTCCTGCCTCAGCTTCTCAAATGCTGAAATTAGAGGGGTATGCCAGCACACTGGAAACATTGAATTCTTGAAAGAAAAAAATGGTTATTCTTCTAAAAACATAATTCACACATAGTTTTAGTGTATTAAATCTTCTGAAACTGTTTTTTCTGTATATTTCTGGTCATATGTCAACGGGTATTTACTTTATCATATTCTTACATTAAGTGTTATATGAAAGTATTTCCCCCAAATTAGAAAATGATTATCTCTGTTTGTATAATTTATACTACATTGTTATTGTAAAAATAAATATGCAAACTGTACTAATTTATTTTATTCTAACATCTGCTTATTTTTTTTTTAACATCTGCTTATTGTCTTTCAGTGTACATCATTCTCAATACGGATGGAGACTGGAAACTACACACCTGTGACAGAGTTCATTATTTTGGGGTTAACAGATGATACTGAAGTTTGTGCCATTTTATTTATTGTTTTTTTAGGAATCTATGTTGTCACACTAATGGCCAACATTAGCATTATCGTGCTAATCAGAAGCAGCCCTCAGCTCCATACCCCAATGTACCTTTTCCTCTGCCATTTGGCCTTTGTAGACATTGGGTACTCCTCATCAGTCACCCCTGTCATGCTCATGGGCTTCCTCAGGAAAAGAATTTTGATTCCTTTTTCTGGTTGTATAGCCCAACTCTGCTTTGGGGTAACATTTGGGACAGCTGAGTGCTTCCTTCTGGCTGCCATGGCCTATGATCGTTATGTGGCCATCTGTTCACCCCTGCTGTACTCCAGCCACATGTCCCCCAAGGTCTGCATTCTCTTACTGGGTGCTTCCTACCTGGGTGGCTGTGTAAACGCTTGGACATTCACTGGGTGTTTATTAAGTCTGCCTTTCTGTGGACCAAATAAGGTCAATCACTTTTTCTGTGACTATTCACCACTTTTGAAGCTTTCTTGTTCTCATGACTTTACTTCTGAAATAGTTCCAGCTATCTCTTCTGGTTCCATCATTGTATTCACTGTGTTTGTC